AAAGTTCTTCTAAGCCCTAGTAATATTAGACTAAAGAATTAAACATATAAATATGATTAGTAAATATCTTTAGAAAAATTACTTCTACATTATAAACGTTTTTATAACCTAGTAAATAGCTCAAACCAATACTTTTCTTGACTATAACACTAAATATATATTTTTTAAATTCTGCACAGCACATCAGTTCATAGACTATGACCACAGAAAGGTAAATTTATTTAACATAGCAGCCTATAAGTATTTTTATTTGATAAATTTATATTTGAATAACATTATAATGTTAATTATGACATTTAAATTTAGGAATACTTTTTCATTCCAAATCCACTAATCCTCCAAGGAAATAATTCATCTTTATGTTTTGTGGATACATGTTCATTGTAAAAATTCAGCCATTACAGAAATATTAAAAGTAGAAAATAAAATTCCCCTAATCATGATCTCTCCACCCATAATAATAATTTGGTATACATTCTTATATATTTTTTTTCTTTAAAGGAGGGATTTTTTTAAGAAGATTTTATTTATTTATTTTTAGAAAGAGGGGAAGGGAAGGAGAGAGGGAAAGAAATACCAATATATGGTTGCCTCTCATGTGCCCCCTACTGGAGACCTAGTCCACAACCCAGGCACATGTGCCCTTACTGGGAACTGAACCAGTGACTCTTTGGTTCACAGGTCAGCACTCAATCCACTAAGCCACACCATCCAGGGCCAGTTTATTTTCTAACATGTATCATTTAGGCAAATTTTCACAAGAATTATGGTTTTGGGGGGAGTGAAGAGGGAAGAAGAAATGAGCAAAATTCTTTTGTAAATATACTTGTTAACAATAAAAATGTCCGTAAATGCCTGAAGCAGAATATAAAACTGCATATATTATATAATCTATATTTTCTCTATATACAAATATCCAAAAATGACAATAGCCATCAGGGAATTAAAAAAAGACATAATCAGATACCACTTCACACACATACTAGGATGGCTATAATCAAAAAAGACAAATAATAACAAGTGTTGGTAAGAATGTAGAGAAATGAGAACCTCATACAATGCTGGTAGGAATGCAAAATGGTGTACCCCTTGGAAAAACACTTTGGCAATTCCTCAAAATGTTAAACACAGAGTTACTATATGACTCAGTAATTCTACTCCTAGGCACATTCAAAAGAAAGGAAGACACAGATCCACACAAAAATGTGTACATGAATGGTCATTAGCAGCATTATTCATACTAGCCAAAAAGTGGAAACAACCCAAATATCCCTCAACTGATGAGTGGATAAATAATATATGGTATTATCCATAAAATGGAGTATTTAATAATAAAAAAATAAACTACTGATATATGCTACAACATGAATCTTGAAAACATCATGCTAAATGAAAAAACCACAGTGACAAAAGGCCACATATCATATGATTCCATTTATATGAAATGTCTAGAAGAGACAAATCTATAGAAAGTAGATTAATAGTTGCTTAGGACTTAGAAGTTTGGGGAAAATAAGGAATGACTATTAATAGTGATGGGGTTTCTCCATGGGGTGATAAACGTGTTCTAAGATTGGGGTGTGGTGATTGTTGCACAACTCTGTAAATACACTAAAATAACTGAACTGTATACTTTGGGTGAATTGCACGGTATATGAATTTTATTTCAGTGAAACGTTAGAAAAAAATATGTGTCATCTCTGGATGGTAAATACTAGTAGTTTTTATTTTCTTATTTATATCTTTTTGTAATTTCCAAATTTTTAGCAATGATTAGGTATTTTTTTAATCCTCACTCAAGGATATATTTATTAATTCTAGAGAGAGAGGAAGGGGCTGAGTGGCAGAAAGACAGACAGACAGACAGAGATTGATTGAGAGGAACACTGACTGGTTGCCTCCCATACACACCCTGATGTGAGATTGAACCTGCAACCTAGCAATGTGCCCTGATGGGGGCTCGAACCCACAACCTTTTGGAGTGACACTCCAACCAACTGAACCATCTGGCCAGGGTTAGGTATTATCTTTAAGTCCAGGGAAAATTATTTTTCAAAGTGCTCCTTGTGAGAACTATAGTGATACTATATTAGGGGTACAGATGGAGTTGCCATTTGTATTCATTTTGTTATTCATTCATTAAACACCTCCTAAGTGCTCCAGGAATTGTCCCAGCATGAGGAAACTTCCAACTCCAAATCAACAAATTGCATCAACTTAACAAAACTAAGGCTTGTCTGTTAACTTCAAAAGATAAGTTATGCGTCACACCACCAATTAATTTGCTCTTAATTTTGCACCAAAGGTTATATTCAATTATGTCAAGTCTCAGAATATTCTTTCTTCATTAAAATGATTGTTTTCAAATTTTAAAACTCATTTTAATTTTAAAAGTAAAACCACTGCAACACTTCATAGTTTAATAGCAGAAAAGGTATACAAAAAATTGAATTAGCAACAAGGGGTAGTAACTCAAAAACACTAGGAATCATCTCTTTAAGATATTTTGGCTGTCAGGTCAATCATTAAAACAATCTTTATGTAAACTGTTAGCAAGAAAAAAAATTAAATCAAAAGAACTTGGAAAAAGTTTGCCTTGAAGTTGAAAAGAACATATGGAAGAGGAGGGATAAGAGGCATATGCTCAAGCAAAGGGTTATTTCAATGACATTTAAAAAACACCAGCTAAAAATCAAATATTCAGTCAGGCTCTCCAAGGACATTAACATCAGGTTTCAGGGAAGTGGCCTCATCTAAAGTTTTTATGAAAAGAGCAAAACAAGGCATCTATATTTTGAAAAACTACACTGACTATACTGATGTGCAGCCAGGGTTAATGATTACTGCATGAAGCAATACTCCTTAAAGGAAACAAGAGTGAAAATTTTCTTCTATAATTTAAAAGTTAGAGACAATGTAGCAAATATATTAGAGGGAGAAAAACTTGAGAGCAAGGAGACTATATACACGAATAATACTCCAAAAGTCTGGTGGAGAGATGTGAACTTGAACTAGGGAAACAGAAGGCAAAAGGGAGAGGAGAAGCTAGAATCAAGCACCAATCCCTAAAGTAGAATCTATTGGACCTAATGACCAAAATGGTTGTAGAGCATGAAAGAGAAACAGAAGGCAAAAATGATTCTAAGGTCTCCTGTTTGAGAAATCAGATGCCTAGTAATGCCATTAACCAATGAATGGAAGGCAAAAAGAGAAGAAACTGTTTTGAAAGTTACTAGAGAAAAGGTTCAAGGAGTTTAAAGGTTAATTGTAATGTTCTACTACTTAAGTTGGATATTGAATACATAGGTGTTCATTTTATTATCTTTTTTAATTGAACATCAAACAACAAATAACGTACAAAATTCGACTAGAAACAAGGGAATTGAAATTCAAAAACACGCTAGGAATCACTGCTTTTATACACTTTTGTATCTGAGACATTGGTAATAATGAAAAAAGAAAATAAAAGGAAGGTGGAGATAAGGAATTTGGTTTTGGACCTAGAGTATTTGCAGAATTAAAGAACTGAATCACTCAGAAGTTAGAGAAAAAGATTTGGAAATGGTTGGCATCCACGGATAATGCCATGGACACCATGGATGTAGATGAGAACTCTTCCAAGAGAATTTGTAGAAGGCCATTTGGGTTATAGCAATGGCAAAGTGCAAACTAAAAGGAAAGAGTCAACTAAGATCGAGAATAATCAAAGGGACAGAAGCCTTTACTAATTCGCTTTCCCTCTCCAAGGGCATGCTGAAGGAAATCAATTTTTAAAGCTACTATTTATGATTATCTTACTGTATTCCCGTGGCAGGTCCAGAATTTCCAGGGAGCTGGAGTTAGAAGAGTAATCTGTGTGAAGAAGGGCTTGAAGATGTTTTTGCACAGTACTACATTAGGTTAGAAAATACTAATTGTCCATATCAAAAAATCAAAGGAAAGAGATTTCAGGGAAATATTTCCCCTCCTCTTTGGGACCACGACTGCTATACTGTAACCATTACCCAAGACATGTTACCTAACCTTTCAATACCCATATCTTTCTTTTTAAATTTTAATTAATGAGCTTTACTTTTAGAGCACTTTTAGGTTTGCAGCAAAACTGAGCAGAAAGTAGAGAGAGTTTCCATCTCTCTCCTGTCCCCACACACGTACAACCTCTTCCACTCTCAGCACCCTCGTATCGTTCATCCTCTCAATAAATGTATTAGGTAGATGAGGAAATTAAGGCTAGACTGGAATTACAACTTTGCTCCGTCAGGGTCACAAATCACCTGTAATTCTCATCTGTATTCCCACAGTTCTCATGGTTCTCTGTCTTTACTAGATTTTCTCATTACTCATCTAGATATACAGGATATTTATGTGCTTCTCTTTCACTGTACTGTTAGCTCTTCTATGATAAGATTGCGTCATTCATTTCTGTATCCGTATAGCAAAGGAGGGAGAAATACTTTGTTGAGTTAAACATATGAAAAAATTAGGTGAGAAGAGCATCAAGAAAGCCAATAGCGGAGTTTCAAGAAATAAATGGGTAGTAGTGTCAAATGTCAGCGAGCCATCATTACATCTTAAGTCATCACTGACATTGGACTAATATTCCTTATTCATTTACCGAACGCCTACTATAAACAGGACAATGTGTTAAGCACAACGAACATGAAAATATAAAATCTGGTACACGTCAATAGGTTTTCGGGGAAGCGGTGATATCTAAATTCTTCATCAGGAGAGCAAATCAAAGAGTCAGGTCTGCAATTGCCTACACGTTATTTGGCTTGGGTAAATCTGAAATCAATTTAAAAGGGTCACAGCGCATTTTTTAATAAAACTTATGGGGGTACACGAGATTGAAAAGGGCCAGAGCACCTCAGTGTCGGTGACGACAGCAGGTGGCCAGGAAAGTCGACTCTTTCCGGAGTCGCTAGCCCCCTAAGCAGGGTTGGCGCTGCCGTCAGCTACCAGCCCGTAGTCTGGGGCGGGAAAAAGCAGGTACTTACCGCAAAAGGCACAGCTACAGCCGTGGCCCAAAGGGGCCAGGGATTCCTTTGCGAGGCCCCAAGCCGTGGGAGGAATCAGAGGAAAGCGGAGATCAGATAGACAGGCGCGACGCCACAGACCGACTTTCCTAACTACATAAACGAGGGTCCCAGAGCCCAGCACAGCAACGCCAACTCCCACCAGCTGGAAGACCGACGACTGCCACCGAACCTTCCGCCCAATGAGGAAACGTCACGACTCCGCGTAGTTCAGCCTTTCACGTAGAGAATGCACTTCCGCTTCCGGGGCATCGGCAGCGTTCTTTCTTGTGAGGTTTTACTAGTTCGCACTGGCTTTTGACGTTTATTTTCTGTCGTTCAGTAGCTGCGGCAGCGAGGTTGTTACGATAACACGATCTCAGGAAAGAATAACGGCCTCGAGGGGCTGCCTTAAGAAAAAGTGACTAAACTGAACACAGCCAACTGAGGGAAATGATGAGAGCCAGAGTGCGTTCACGTGTAGGGATTCCCCTGGCGCCTTAGAGAACTCCAAGAAGGGGCGGGGCCTAGGACATTCACAGCCTAGGGAGGCGGGTTCCACTCTAGGTCTAGTCAGGTGTCGCTACCGGTCTCTGTTCGCGCGTGCGCAATGCGGGCCTCCCAGGATTGCCCTGTGCTGCAACATGGAATTCCGCTCCGCACGGCAAGCAATACTGCAATTGCTTCGTAACGTGGCTCCAGCAGATCTCCCGGCGCTGCTCGAGTGGATGCGAACTACCCGTAAGCCACCAGAGCCCGAGGCAGGCGGTTGGGCAAAGATATGGGCCCTGACTTTGGAGGCTTAGGGTGAGGTCTGAAGCCCTCCAGGAATTCTCTATTCTGCTACGAGGCAGGTTGAAGGAGGCACATCTCATCCTTCGGCAGGTTCACAGTCCAGTTCGGGGTTAGGTGCGAGATTGAGCGCACGCTCTGGTTTGTTTGTGATTGCGCTGCAGACTTCAGACAAACCGCTAGAGGCGCCTTGAGCCTAACTTTTTTAATAAAAGGGTCGGGGAAGGACTTCCCTCCCCCCATTATTCTCTCAAACTTGTGACAGCCAGTAGGGAATTATCTGAAAAAGCACTTCGAAGGGAAGTTTTAAGCTATAGAACTGGAAGGTGTCACCCTGCAGGCAAAATCACCTGTAGTTAGTGAACTTATTTTCTCAATTGTAATATAGACCATTGATTTAATAAAAATATTTATGGGGTGAGGGGGAGAAAGGGGGAACAGACTTTGATTAAAAACCGTTAACAAAATTAGTAACAGTAAAGTTAAAAAGCACGTTAGAGTCGAGGAAATGTGATAATTAGGTTATTTATTGAACAATAGGATAGATCTACTTAAGCAAAGTGAAGCCTGGTGAAGGCACAAGAAAATAGGATATACAGTAGCTCATTTGAAAAGTATGTCAAACCATACTACGCCTCTAAACCTTTAAACGTTGATTCCCATGTTTATTTTCATCCAGACTCATGACTTGAAATATACCTGTTTGCTAATGATTCTCAGTTTTAGACTTCCAACCTTGAGTTCTTCCTGGAATTCTCAATGTGATGTTAGAGTCAATCAGTAGGTTTGGGTATTATTATTATTATTATTATTATTATTATTACACATTTGGGGGAATCATTTTAGATAAGATGCCAAATTAAAATTAACTTGGACCTCTGATAGTAAGGTTTTAACATGGACAGGAGAGAAAACGAGAGACTTAGCTTCATATTTATATACACTACAAAATTCAAGACAGGAATTTCTACAACATACTAAATCTCCTGTCACTTCATTTAAACCCTTTATTGCCAGTTCTACATTCCTAAACCCAAGACCTTTCATTCCAAAAGCCCTGAGTGCCTATGAAAATGCCACCTACGCTAAAAAAATCCTAGCAAAAATCCTAGCCGTCAAAGTTTCAGTTCTTTGGAGCCATTTTGTAATCTAAATCTCCAGTTTTAGAGGCATCAAATGACACTCCGTTTTTCAAAATCAAAAAAATTTCAAAGCATATTTTGGAAGATAATTTTGTAAACAAGAAGACCCAATTACACTGGCTAAAGAATACAGTTTTACTTTAAAAAAAAAAAAGATTTAATTTATCTATTTTTAGAGGGAGGGGAAGAGAGGGAGAAAAACATTGACACGAGAGAGAAACATCAATTGGTTGCCTCTGGTATGTGTCCCCGACTAGACCCAACATGCAACCAAGGCATGTGCCCTGACCGGGAATTGAACCAGCAACCTTTTGCTTTGGGGAACGAGGCCCAACCAAGTAAGCCACACTGGTCAGGACCAGTTTTACTTTTTTTAACAATGCTTTCACTGCCTTTCTCCCACAGACCCTGTAGTCAGAGAAATTCAAGCAGTTTGTTAAGAAATTTATAACACTAGCCGAGTTTCTGAAGAATGTATATTAACATGAATATTTTAAATAATTTTTTTTATTTTTCAATTTCAGTTCATGTAAAATGTTATATTGGTTTCAGGTGTACAACTCAGTGATTAGACATTTATATAACTTACACAGTGATCACCCCATTAAATTTAGTACTCACCCATCTGACAACATACATAGTTATTACAATATTATTGACTATATGCCATATGCTGTACTTCACATCCCCATGACTATTCTGCAACTACCAATTTATTCTTAATCCCTTCACCATTTCACCATATCCAGGTCCCCCTCCCATCTGTCAACTATTAAAATGTCCTCTGTATTTATGAGTCTGTTTCTGTCCTGCTTGTTTATTTATTTCTTTAGATTCCCCATATAAATGAAATCATATGGCATTTGCCTTTCTCTGTCTTATTTCACTCGGCACAATACTGTCTAGGTCCATCCATGTTGTTGCAGATAGCGTGATATCATTCTTTTTCATAGCTGAATCATAGTCCATTTTACATGTGCACCACATCTTTTTATTCATTCATCTATTGATGGACATCAGGTTGCTTCCATATGTTGGTTATTGTAAATAATGTTGCAATGAACATACAGATGCATACTTAAGTCTTTTCAATTTCATGTTTTGGGTTTCTTCATTTAAATACCCAAAAGTGAAATTTCCAGGTCCTTCTTTGCCTCTTGTTATAGCCTTTGTTTTAAAATCTATTTGGTCTGGTATAAGTATAGTTACCACAGCTTTTTGTTTGTGTTTCCATTTTTTGTGAAATTCCATTTCCATCCTTTACTTTCAGTCTTTTTCGATCTGAAGTCTCTTGTAAACAGCATATATAATGGTCTTGTCTTATTACCCATTCAGCCACAATGTCTTTTGATTACTTAATCCATTTACATTTAAAGTAATTTGGGGTTTTTTGTTTTTGTTTTTTAGTATGCAAGCAGGGTTTATTGGTGATATGTTCTCAAGGGAGAGAATGGGCCTTGCCAAGGTGGCACAGAAAGGCAAGAGCAAGGGTGACAAGGGCAGGGGGTTGGCAAGAGCAAGAGAGAAGTCCTGTTAACAGAAGCAAACCCACCCCTGCCCCTGGGGTCTTTTTATTCTATGGTTCTTCTTTGCCCACTGTGGTAGGAATTGTGGCTCTCAATGCCAGGGTCAGTCAGGTTGTGCCAAAGATGATTCCTCTGTCTGAGGTCATAGGGCTCCTCTTTCACTGTTCAGTTGTTTGTTCCAGGTGATTTCTCCACAATTTAGCTGTAGGACCAGATTGGTCCTGGGAGGAGATTGATGTGACTTCCATTCACTCCTCTGCCCTAAAGTAATTGTTGATACATATGTAGTTATTGCCATTTCATTATTCATATTTTTAATCTTTTTTTCTCCTTAAAGAAGTCCCTTTAACATTTCTTATAATACTGGTTTGATGATGGTGAACTCCTTTAAGTTTTTTCTTGCGTGGGAAACTATCTGTCCTTCAATTCTAAATTATAGCTTTGCCACATAGAATAACCTTGGTTGTAGGTCTTGGCTTTTCATCACTTTGAATGTTTCATGCCAGTTCCTTCTGGCCTGCAAAGTTTTTGTTGAGGAATCAGCTGACAGTCTTATGGGAACTCCCTTGTATGTAGCTAACTGCTTTTCTCTTGCTGCTTTTAAGATTTTCTCTTTGCCTTTAACCATTGTTATTTTAATTATGATGTATCTTGGATGAGCTTCGTTGGGTTTATTTTGTTTGTGACTCTCTGTACTTCCTGGATTTGTATATCTATTTCCTTCAGTGGGTTAGGGAGGTTTTTTTTTTTTTTCTTTTCCCATTGCTTTTTTCAAATACGTTTTCAATTCCTTGCTGTCTCTCTTCTCCTTCTGACACCCCCATGATGTGAATGTTGGTATTCTTGAAGTTGTTCCAGAGTCTCCTTAAACTATCCTCATTGTTTTGAATTCTTTTTTTCCTTTTTGCTGTTCTGATTGGGTGTTTTCTGCTTCCTTATCTTCCAAATTACTGATCTGTTCCACTGCTTCATCTACTCTACTGTTGAGTCCCTGTAATATATTCTTCATTTGAGTTATTGTATTCTCCATTTCTGGCTGGTTCTTTTTTATGTTTTCTGTCTCACTTTCATGTTTCCTATATCTTTGTTGAAGTTCTCACTAAATTTGTCTATTCATCTAAGTTTATTGAGCATCTTTATAACCAGCGTTTAGAACTCTGCATCTGGTAGATTGCTTGTCTCCATATTGTTCTTTTTCTGGAATTTTATTCTGTTCTTTTATTTGTGATGTTTCTTCATCTCCTCTTTTTTGGCTGCCTCCCTATGTTTATTTCTCTATATTAGGTAGATGTACTACATCTCCCATTCTTGGTAGAGTATTCTTATGATGTGAGTGTCCCATAAGGCCCAGTGGTGCTCCCCCTGGTGATCCAAGCTGTGCTCTCTAAGTGTGCTTTCTGCCTCCCCTCCGCCCCCAACCATGAGCACTGTATGCATCCTTCTGTTGTAGCTGAGCCATTACTGCTGTTGGCGTGTCAGTGGTAGGGATTTACCCTTAGGTCAATCAGCTGCAAGGACTGGCCTTGACCACCATGGAGGATCTGCTGTGCAGTGGCTAACACCATGGAGCAGGACTCACTTTGGTGGAGGTCTGGTGCCTGCTGAGTCCTCCCCTTGAGTGGGTCATTTGTAGAGATGGTTAGGTGGTGCTTCTGGATGGTCTGAAGCTGTCCACTGGGTGCACTGGCTCTGGGCCTTCTGGGAGGTGCAGGCCAAGGTCAACCACTTCCTGTGCTCTTCCCAGGGCCCCCCGGCACGAGCTACAAAGCAATCTGCTTATGGTTGCTACTTATGCTGGGCTTGGAGGTGCCCAGGAGAGGCCAAGCTGCAAACCAAGGCCAGCTGCTGCTAATGCCAGTTTTGGGACCACTTAGCAAGAGGTATAGGGCATGCCAAAGCCAGATTCTGCTTGTTTGGGTTTGTGATTCTTTGAAAGATTTTTAGGAAAGTTTGAAGTATGATCCAATACAGGCCATTTGTATAGAAAAGCCACTGGAAAACAGCTTAGTTGGGCCCACATGGTGGGCCTGCACATTGAGTCGAGCAGGGTCTTGGAATCACCAGGCAGAGCGAACAGTGTTAACTAGGTTGATAGAGTTTCAGACATGATACCTACCTCCCAGCTCTGTGGGAGAAGTGCTCAGCAAAGGAACAGTGGCCTCTGCCAACACTTCTCTCTGGGAGAGAGTGGCCCCTCCATCCCTCACCCAAAACCAGACAATGGCATTCCTCCGCATATGTCCTTGGAACCTTTGAAGCTGCTGCCCCAGTGTTGTAGCTC